GAGGTACTGTTTTTACCATAGCTTTTTCTCATTCTTTATTTGTCTTAGCATGTTTTTTTTATTTTTCTGATCACCAGTGAACATGGAGCACTAGCCTTCTACACCGGCTGACTGCAGTAAGACCCATTTCCCATTTCAGGAGCTTTTCTAGTTCACGTGGAAAGGAATGATGCATATGCATGGTTCTGTTTCCTGGTTAGTCAACTCTAAACGTAGGCTTTTCTTTCGGGTTGCACTGTAAGCAATGCTTATAGTCCTTCCTGCAGATCGGATCTGCCATTCAACCTGCCACTGGAAACCGGCATCAAATTCAGATCCATCCCATCAGGTGACGGTGCGGTAGGCAGCTCAGATGCTGCAAACAGGAGAGGGGCTGCAGGCGTTCATCCCCTGCGCAGCTGTGGGAACGTGCTGTGCCCTTTCCTGCATTTGGGACTGCTCTTAAACACCTGTGAATCTGTGTAATCTATATATGTATACCTGCATAGGCTCTTCATGCGTGTGTGCGTGCGTGCATACGCTGCATATATAGATAGATATAGTTGGTAGCTATAAAATTCCCTGTTAACTTAGAAAACTAATTTATTCAGTTTCTCCATTTTAAATGGAGTAGGATAAATACTCATCTGCCCTATGTATTTTCTGTGGCTTGTAGCAGATTTCACAGTAATTCCAATGTCACTGTGTTTGTCTTTACAGTACGTCTGTCAGACTTCAGTTCAACCAATCCCTCTAAGGTGAAGGCATAAGATTTTAGTATTATTAATGCCTCATTTCATCTAGTTAATGATCTTTTCAAGTATTCCATTGTCTTTGTGATTTACTTGCAATGTCAGATAAAGATCTTATTTAAGCTAAGTATTATGAAATAATAGAAATCTTTATTTGAATACAATCAGGATAAATTAATCCAGTAGAGAGCCTGATGTTAAACAGGTGCAGTTCTTAGCAGCATCGCACACGTAAAATCAGGGTAAGTTCTTTGAACGCTCAGATCTTAACAGATGTGTTCTTTTTCTCCATATGTTATAATAAAATAAAGATTTGCTCTGAAAGTATTGACAGACACTGTAAGCAGTCTTGGCAAACACACCGTTGTATTCCTGTACACGATATCGGCTCCGGCTATTATTTAACTTTAAATAAATGTGTGTATTAAATAGCTGTAAAACGCATATATGTATAAACAAAATCAGTTTTTGTCAGAGTGTAGTATTTTTTCGCTTTCTTGTTTACTGATGCCTAGACAAAGGAATGCTACATCTTCAAAACAACATCTGTCAAACCGATTTTCATCAGATTAAGTATATCCTCAAAGCAACCATCACAGCTTACAAAATACTGGAAATGTAGGTTGTGCTTTGCATAAAACACCAATGGAATTTGAAGCACTTGAGAGTGTTTTACAAATGTAGCGATGACAGCCTGTGCATATTCTCCATTTTTGTTTCTATTTTCGGTCGGTTCTTGGGAAAGATAGTTAGTGATATTGCAACACTGCAATCCCAGTAGATGTCCCAGTGTGCAATTACAGAGTTATGGTCCTGGCAGCTACTCTGGGTCCTCAAAAGCCAATGGTTTGAGAGTCTGGCAGCAGAGACTGAATTTATTGTGAGGAAGTTCATCTGTAGGAAGATTTCTTTCATTAAGAATGAAATTAAAGCGTGAATCAGTGACTGATTATCCAGACCTTTCTCTGATCCGTTGAATTCTTCATTAGTATAGATGTGTGATTATATATGCTCTGGCCTGATTCTGATTCTATAGATCATGAAGGATAACTGGTAATATTAAATTTTTAAAGACCTTTTCCAGCACAATGTAATCTAGTAAAAATGGGAGGAAAGCCAGCGGCTTTAGCATAGACCATAAATACAGACATACTCAATCATTCACGTTTCTGGCCAGCTTTCTGTCTTTCTCCCTGCTAGGGAATAATTAATGCATGGCAATGAGCTTCCTAATAGGCTGCTGTGTCTTCTGTAGGAGCGAAGCATTTTGCCTTTGTAATCACTTAAGTAGAGAGGTGAAGCCTCATTACAGTGTGCGCCCACAGCTGAGTGTGGCAACTCGGGTCAGCCAGAAATGAATGCTGGGATTTCTGTAAAAGATCTTTGTGGATGGAGGGTCGGGGCGCTCGAGCTGGAAGCTACGTCAGTGTTCCCATTAGTTCTTCCATTTAGAAGCTGGAAATCTAGCATAACACAAGAAGAGTCCAATCAAAAAGCTGTGGAGAGGACAAACAAGGGTGAAAGTCGAGGACAAATCTGTTCTAGCTGCATCTGGATGTAGATACATTTTTATAACTCTGGTTTGCCATTAGGTTGTTCCCTATGAGTCAGTGAATTGCCCTGTGCTGTCCTAAAATGTTCCACATTAACCTTAGGCGAGTTAGGATGAGGCATTTGGTGCCTACCGCAGACCCGTGGGATAGCCCTAATTAGCGTCCTGTTCCTAAGGCAGTGCACCTGAAGACAGTCCCAGAACCAATTGCATACAGACAAGGCTAAATATGTTATTTCATGATGGAGTTAAAGATAAATGCTTTATATCTGAAAGATATCATTTTTACCAGGAAAATGGTATTGCTGATTTTTGTCTTCTTTATAAAGATGTGCTAGCTAGTTCTGCGGTACTACTTGAAACATAAACCTCAGACTGGATTTTTAGCTTAACTGATTCTGAAGATGATCCTTATAGGATCTTTAGCCTAGTTCCTTAGACAAAAAACATACAACTAAGTAAAAATGAGTATGAAAATGTACCAAGTATTCTAACTTTATCCAGTTTTATTGTGTACCCAGGGAACTTGGTACTTGCAAGCTTGGGTCCTCTGAATATTAATAGCGCGACATTTTGAACAGGAGACCAGGGTTTCTGAGAAGACTTTTACAATTTGCAGAGGGAAAAGCTGTGTTTGAAAGAGCCTGTATACTAGAGATCCCTTCTGGTTGTCCTTTTTGGCCAAAACTGTGGAGCATTTAACTTGTTTTTAAAGCAAGAAGTATGGAACAGACAGCAGATAATACAGTCTGGTGGTAGGCAGACAAGCCGTAGCACATTCAGCAAATACATGCTCTTTTTGGGAAATGTTGATTTGAATTTCATGCATCATCCAAGCATAGTGAACACTGAAAGGTCATAGTAAGAATGTAAAGAAAAAAATCCATCTGATTTGAATTTCTCACTATCCAATATTGTTAATAATACAATGTCAAACAAATAACTGCTTCTCTGAGTGTGACTAAAGCCAGATTCCATGTATAGTTGAAGAATAACTTGCCACACATATTTTTTTCCATTTACTGTTAATTTCCTTTATAATGTCATGGTGTTCGTTTATGAATGGTACCTTGAGCCCCTGCAGTACATCTGTGTTTTCTCAGTCAGAGTTATCTGAGTTCGTTCCTCAGCATCCAGGAAATCTCCTGCAGACTGTAACATATTGATGGGCTCAGTACAATTAGGATAAAATGAAAGTGTTTTGCTATTGATCTTTGCTTGTTATTAGTTTATACTAACAGAAAATTAGATTGAAGAAGTCTAACAGAGTATCAGAATATTCTTTCTCGTTGCAGGAAATATCACTGGTACTCTTAAATGGAGGTATTTTAGAGCAGAACTTCCTTCCTTTCTCCTTTTCTCTAATCCTGTCTTTCCGACTTTTAAAAAAATTCTCAAAGGGATGATGAGTCTTGGTAAATAACTAGGGTGTTCAGAGACTGTGGAGTAATACCATGACTTAAACAGGGCTCAGGCAATACTTATTAGACCATTATATCAAGATCTAATACTGTGCTGCTTCGTACCTTAACTTCACATAACATTGTATTAATAAATTTTCACAAGTTGTGTAGTCGTAAAGTGCATCATAATAATCAGTATCATTCCTCTAATAAATCATTTGATTTGTGTTTGCTTTGTGTTGTTCCAACCTTGTCAGCCATAACATCACAGGGTAGGGACCCTTCTCATGGTCACCTGCTCGGAGTCCTCGGTTATGGACATGCTCAGAGGGAGGCACAACTTCACCTCCACACCCTCCTTCCCTTTGCAATGCCTCAGGTTACGTGGTTTTCTTACAGAAGTATTAGCTCCATTGTGGAGATTTTCTGGAGCTCCTGGTCTCGATCCTTCTGCAGACTCCATGCAGATGTATGGTTTTACTTGCCCAGGAGACCACTGAAGTTGCTGAGTGTTTGTAATTTAGACACTGTGGCAATGGCCACCACCAGGGGTGAATTGTTAGACGTGGCTGCACTTCGGCCACGTGTAGAGGTGGTCAGTTCAATAGATCGGTGGCCCAGGGAAACTGATCCCTCGTGCTGACCAAGCTTCAGAGTCAAATGCTACCTGTGGAGAGTGTGTTCCTATTGGCATGGATGTCTGCAAATGAAAAAGCAGGGCAGACTTTGCTTTATGTTTTTTAACATTTGTTTTATTGCAGACATGATTCTCCTTCTATGTAACAGAGTAGATAAATACCTGCTTGAAAATCTATGATTTAAAGTACTGGGTGTTGTTTTTTCTGAGACTCAGAATCTTAATCCATTTGATTGACAGATATAAACTTGAATTTTATTTTATTCTCCATCACAGCAGTAAGTTTAGTCCCAACTACAGTTTTCACTATTGCAATACAAATATACTAAGCCTAAAGTACTGCTGACAGCTTATATATAAAATTTGAGGATTAAGAAACCAATGCAAACAAAGATAGACTCTCAGCTTTAAGTAAGGAACAGAGTGTTGTTGGACTAGCCTTTTACTGCTGTCACAATTAATGTGGAGTAAGAGCAGCCAAAACCTACAGGTCTGTTCTTGGCTGCAATAAGTACTAATAAGGCAATAGTCATTTGAAGAGGAAATTTGTCTTGTCTATTTGAAACATTGATTAATTGCCAAAAATGCCACTTTTTTTTGCATTGTATGTGTGATGTGACTTTTCATTTTTACCTTCTAAATAATTTTTACAAATAATCCCTCTTATTTTTTTTCAGCCCACCGAAACCAACGGTGTTCATCTCTGGTGTCATTGCTAGGGTAAGATTACCATTACATTTCTTCCAATCATAGAAAAATGATTGTAGGCTTTTCAGAATTATCACTGATCAGAGCAAAATTAATCTTTTTCATTCCCCTTCCTTTTTTATGAGAAGAGGTTTTATGTTTTATATATTTGTGTAAGTCCCTTTGAACATTCTTTTTGGTTTTGTGTGAAATTGAAATTATTTATTGAAATTACTTCCACATTTTACTTTGAATTTTAGCACTTTAAGTTTATTGGATCTTTTTTTCATATCTAAGCTAGATACTACTGCATTAATTTTCTTTGAAAGCGGCTGCATGTAACTGCTGCTATAGCTTGATCTGTGATGAGGAGCGACACTCCTGCCTAGTACGGATGTGTGTTTGAAGATACGTGTTTCAGCTGCCATATGTGCCTTGAGGTTCTTGGGATTCAAGGCGTTATTCCCTGGATTTTAACAGCAGGCAGGACCTGGAAATCCATAAGCTAAATCAGTAGTATTAATTAGCCATTAATCATATGATCAGTAATTCATGCCTTGTGTGTTCTGACAGGGTTTTTATCGTGGCTTTACATGATGGGTACCTCTGTCATGATGGCCTTACATCACTGGGGTGTGTAATGGGGTGGTTTACCTGTAAGATGCTGTGGTTGTGTCAGATCATGTAGGTGGAAGGAGTGAGCTGATGCAATTTTCCCCAGCCCACAGGGGTAGCAGGCAGGCACTGCTGTATTTTCTGGACCTCCATCTGCACCAAGGTGGATACCTGTTCAGGCATTTAGATGCCTAATTACTTCTAACTGATTATTGCATTAATGTTTAGTAATTTTGATAGCACTTTAACAGTTGTAGGGTAGTGATTTTTTTTTTTTTATGAGTGGCATAGGAGATAGACATAAAAAACACAGGCCCCCAGTTTAGTAGGCATGCAAAAGATTCAAAATGGAAAGAAACTATTTTCTTGATTTTGTAACTCAGCTCTTCTTTAGCTAATCAATTACTTGATAGGGTACTAAACTTATCCTCAGTAAGCTGTCAGCTACAGGTTTATTTATTAACCTATGAAGAGCAAAATTGTTCTATCATTTTCTGAGACTTTATAGCTCCCAAACATGTATCAAAATTTCTTCTCTGTGTAATAAACAAAACCTAGCAATGCTTTTTTGACCCCACAGTGATTTTTCAATTATATTTTCAAGTTTCCTGATAGTTCTCATCAGTGTCAAGTGGAGGTTTATATACTGTGACCTGTCCTGTTTAATGTCTTTATCAGACAGAAGGCTTCTCATCAGGTTCATGGATGGCACCAAATTGAGAGGAACAGTTACTAAGTTTGAGGGCAGGGCTGCTACGGAGGGACCTGGGCAGGCTGGAAGAATGGCAGGCAGCAGCTGAACACAAGCCAGCCGCATGCAGGACAGCAAGAAGGCCAACAGCATCCTGGGCTGCCTTAACAGGAAAGTAGCTGGTAGATTGAAGGAAGGGATTATCCACCTCTGCTCAGCATGCTTTAGACCACATACGGAATAGTTCATCCAGTTTTGGACACCCCAGTGTATGAAAGGTGTTGATAAACCAGAGCGAGTTCACTGGAGGGCCACCAAGGTGGTCAGGGGCTGGAGCACATGCCCTGGGAGAAGACGGTGGGGGAACAGGCCTTGTTAAGCATGGAGAAGAGATGGTTTTGGGAGGACCTAACAGCAGCCCTCCCACATCTGCAAAGAAGTTATAAAGAAGATAGAGCCAGGCTGTTTGGAGTGGTATATGGTAGGCAGATAGGAGACAACAGACACAAATTGAAATGGAAGGGCCTGACTAGACATAAAAAACCTAAACTTTTTCACTGTGAGAACATTCAGGCAGTGGAGCAGGTTGCCTGGAGGGGCTATTCAGTCTCTGTTCTTAGAGGTTTTCAAGACCAGACTGGATAAAAACCTTGAGTAACTTGGTCTGATCTCATAGCTAGCTCTGCTTTCAGCTGAGGTCCCTTCCAACCTGAATTATTCTATGATATTTTTGATTTGAAGATAGACATTTCCTGCTAACACTTACAGACCAACTCTCTCATCTGCTCAACTGTTACAGTACCCACAAGTCATAGAAGAGCTGCTTTCACATCATCTGTTTGAGATAACAAGGTGTGAGAGGTCAGAGAGGTACAGAAAAGGCAAACAGCAGCATCAGGGGGAAAGAAGGTAGAAAATGTCAAGTCTGAGAAGATGAGATCTTTGAAAACTGGAAACAACTTGGAGTAGAGAAAAAAGTGAAAAAAATTTAAAAAGTTAACCTAGTGATCAAGATAAAAAAAAAAAAATTACGTCAGAACAGGAAGGAAGAATTTGGAGTGGATTGAAATGGGATAAAGCGTGAAACAGGCCGTCTGAGATGTCAGCTTTGTACAAAATAACTCTGTGTAAGGTTGTCACCCCGTGAACCGATGGAATACAGGGATTTTCTGGCTTATGTTTGTCCCAGTTTCTAAAGAGGGAAGTTGTGGTGCTGTTCTCTTCCCCCTGCCACCGAGCACTGGTAGTAGTTGTTTCCTATTGCTTTTTGAAAACTTCATGGGACTCACCCTAGAAGTGGCAGTTGTAAATAGGTGGCATAAGGGTTGCACCTGAACTGAGCCTGCCCAACAGCGGCACGTGAGAACTAACGCTAGCAGACCTGGCTAAAAGAGCATGTTAAACTTAAAAGCCAGCCACCCCTAAGATTTGAGTCAAAAGAAGTTTTAGATCCTGCCTTTCTTCCCACGGAACTGGCATTCCT